GGCAAGAATCTGTGGCAATAACAACAGGACTTGGGCTTCGCATAAAATGACGCCAATGTCCTGTTTCACTTCCTGTTCCTGTTACCCGATGCTGCCCTCTCTCTCTCTCTCTCTCTCTCTCTCTCTCTCTCTCTCTCTCTCTCTCTCTCTCTCTCTCTCTCTCTCTCTCTCTCTCTCTCTCTCTCTCTCTCTCTCTCTCTCTCCCTCGCCCTTGCCCTCTCTCCCTCTCTCTCTGTCTCTCTCTCTCTCTCTGTCAAATACAATGTGTCACTTGGGTGTCAAATGGGAAAATAAATAAATAAGCTGCGAGGCTTGGTGTTAAGGAACTCACGATTTTGCCATTGCTCCTGTTATCCTTGCTGATGTTATTATCATTGTTATTATATTTGGTTGTAGTTGTTTTTGTCATTGTTGTTGTTGTTGTTGTTGTCACGCGACTGCAGCGGCGCGTTTTCAATAATAATCTCTTGTCTTGGGCATAAATGTCGCATTAAAATGTCACGCACTTGTGGCTTAATCACGCCTAAAGGCTAACGCCCACACCCCTGGCACGAGCCAGCCTCAGCCCAGCCGGGGCCCAGCCTAGGCCCAGTCCAGGCCGATCCAGGCCCATTCAGGATAACAGACAGGCGACATCACTTCGGAGTCAGCCTTTTCATAGCCCTACACATCCTTGGCGGTTATCCGCTTGGACCTCAGCCTGGAGTCGCCGCTGATGTCGAGGCCCGATCCACTTCAATGGATTCGCTGCGTCTTGTGCCAAGTGGGTAGTCGGCGGAGTGGGCGGTGCCGGTTGACGCTACTTGTTTGCGGTTTTTATTATATTATGCTTGTGTCAAATGGGCTCAGCGCTGTCACATTCTCGACTGCTGCCAGCTCAGCGTCCTGTCAGCCAACGCTCAGTCGCCAGCTATGCCTGGGCCCCTTTATTCCGGCGCCAGTTATTACACATTGCCGGCATCTTAATGTCGAGTGCTTGGCTGTGGCCTGTTGTAGCATGTAGACGCATTAAGAAACTGCGCGGTTGCGGCTACAACTGCCTCCCTCTGCAAAGCCCCTCTCACCAACAGGTGGCGCCCCTTAGCCACGTCAAGAGTCCCGGCAAATTCAAGCCCAAACAGCAACCACTTGGCCAACAACAAGTGCCACAGCTTCACTGCCAGCTGCTGCTGCTCCTCTAACTGCTGCTGATGCTGCTGTGGTTGCTTACGTTCAAGATCTCATTACTCTGTCATAAAAATTGTAACGCAGCTTATACGTGATGAAAATGTTACCAGACACGGCTCTTCGGCTCTATTATCTGCAACTATGATTAATATTATGGCATTATTAAATATAAATAGTATTACTATCGCGAGGATTAAGTTTTTTGCAGTAATAATTAATTAAGAAATTTGATTAATTAATCAAATTCAATTTAATCTGTTTATATTATAATGATTTCACTCAAAATTCTATAATATTTGTAGTGATATTTAATTTACATTATCAAAACAAAATATTATTAATATTAATATTTTTATTACTACATATAAATACTAATTGTATGTATATACATATACATATATACCAATAAATAATAATAATAATAAATATAATAGCAATATATATAATATCACTTATATATATATTATATATATTATTATTGCATTATTATTATTATACATAAATTCTTAAAATTTGTAATAATATTTAAAAGACAAAAACTAACGTAATAGGATATTAAAATATTCACTGTTAATGTTAAAATGTAAGTCATATATTTTAATTTATGAATAATTCAATAAGAACGAAACAGAAAATATTTCGATTAAATCTATCCAAACTAAAGTTAATATATATTATATACGTACATATAAATATATTCTAAAGTATATACTAGTTAGATAAATATTAATAATACTATAAAAATGAAAAACAATAAAGAAGAGTATCTTGTTTTCGGCTAGAGCCCGTCTTTTTGCTACCCGTGCTCCCCTGCAATTGGCAGTTGGATCTTGCAGTATTTTATAAGTTAAGGCACGTTCCAGTGGTCAGGCCTTACTGCTGTGTCTTGCTGCTCCTGCTGCTCTTACTGCTGGCAGTAATTCCGCTCCACTCAGCCCACGACTGGACTCCAGTTGCTGTTCTGCAGTCAACTGCTTTGGCCGCAATAAAATCTCCAAATTTATTTGCTGAGTACAGCCAAAAAAGCTCAAAACAAACATATATATATTTAAAAAGCCGCTAGATCTAGTCGAGCATGCTCACTTAGCTGATACCCTGTAGGCAATTGAGTGCTCCTGAATGAATTCTGTGATAAGCATAGGGTAGAATCATATGCATTCGCCTAACGACATGGCAACAGCTCACAAATAGTGCTTCAAATTTATATTCGAGCATAAATCATAAATTGAAGGCGAAACTTGACTTGAAATTCTTTTTGGAAATATTAGTTTGATCATAGCCAGCTAAGCAAAGGCTTTATGCACCGAAAAACATGGCCAGCAAATTGGCAGCTCAAATTCAAAACTAAAAATCAAATTTAAGAAGCAAAAAGGCCTACACTACACGCGCCGAAGATCGAATGCCCTTCCTGGAAACTCTATTTGGAAAATATGGGAAGTGATTTGATTTAAAAAAAGGACCGTCTTGTAAGACTTATTTCTGTTACAAAAATGGGTTTGTTAAAAGTTTAAAAAATATGACTCATGTTTTACTGGGCCTTAGAAAGGCTCGAAAAAAAATATTAACTTTGGTAGGAAAATCAAGAGAATCAAAACAAATATTCAAAACAAGAACTTTCTTTTTTGAATTCGATCAGGGTCACACATTTGATGACAGAAATCGAATACCCTTTTGGCAAGGGCATAAGAAGCAAAGCCAATTGCAAAGTGAATAGGGAATCCTTGCTGCTGATGCACAGGCGCTAAGAGTCCTTTGTGGTTTGCCCATCAGCAGCAAAAATTGAATTATAAGCCAACTGTCTTGGCCGGGCCATCATCATATGCTCGTACTAGCCCGTTTTTTCGTCGGCTAACTTGATTACAAGTTGCAAATGTTTATTCAATTTGCATTCTCAATTAAATGCGGACTTTGTTTTGTGTCTCATAATTGCATTTGGGTCACGTCCGTCTCCCAGCACTTGTTGTTGTTGTTATTGTTGTTGTGCACAACTATTTGTCGCAGGATCAATTTACTTGGCCCGTGTCCCAGCTGACCCTTTCATTTGATGGCACTTTTCGCAACGCCCACTTTGCAACTTCCTCTGCATAATTTGTAATTTTGCTTGGACTTTACTTACAGCCAGTAAATTGTGAATTGGAACTGTCTTTCAGATTGTGGCTTTGGCTTGCCTTTGGCTATGGCTTTGGCTGATTGGCCAGCATAAGTTTCGCCCGGCCTCAGTGTCGCCAAGGCGTTGCCATCATGTGCATGTGTCCTGCGCCTTCGGCAACAACGTCCTGTGCCCGATGAAAGGACACGTCAGATGCCCGGCTGATTACATTGGCTAACCACTGCCTCTGCCCTTGCCGCTGACCCAGCCTCGCGTCTTGGAGTCGCATGAAAAGTTTACGTATGATTTGCTTGGAAAATTGCATTTTGCGGTTTTGCCAAAGCCTCAAAAAAAAAAAAAACCTGTACACACAACGGAATTCCCCTCCCCAAGCGAGGGTGGGACCCAGTTCCGAGTCCCTGATCCGGCCCAGCTTCGAATTTGCACTTCTCAGCCGACATTATTAGCTGCACATGCCACATCCGCTGCCGCCGCTGCTTTTGATGTGCCATTTGCATTAAAATACCATTTGGTTGGACCGCAAATTGTATTTGCCAATCGACCCAAATGCCTTTTGAATAATTCCCAAATGCCGGCTTGATCCTGATATGGCGTTCTTCCTTGCGCCTCATAACAAATTAAAAAGACAAATAAAACTTGGACTTGAACCGCCGACCTGCCGCTTGCTAGCCAGATGTAAGATATTTAACATTCTTTTTGCAATCGAATTTGGAATTTGTTAAAGAATACAAATTAATGCTTTATATTAAGGTCTGAGGGCCACGACTTTCTCTTCACTTTTCAATTCAATAATTAGATTATTTTTGTTATTTCGTTATTTGAAATTAAAATAAATAATTACTTATAATAAGCTACTAAATTAATTGAATAATAAAAATGAATTTAATAAGAAATATTATATAAAGTTTGATGTAAATCAGACTAAACTTAAAACTTATCCCAAAAAACTTGGAATTTTAACAAAAATCATTGAAAATGATATATAGTACTTATAATAGATATATGTATATATATATAATATATTTTTTATTTAAAATTATCTAGTAGTTAGAGAGAAAACCCCAAAACTTGCCTGGAATATTTGAATCCATTTTGTGATCGAATTAATCGATGAAATATGAAAAAGGAAAGTATAAAGCTGTTGCTCGTAATGAAATGCCAGCTAGGGATCAGTCCATATCGCGTTGTCTAAGCTAAAGCTGAAGTCCATGTTGGCTAGTTTGAGCATTCGTAATTTAAATCTTTGAAAAACTAGAATTGAGAAATTGAAACCTTTATATAGAATTGAGCCGAATCGCTGTGAAGTCAAAATGTTAGTTTACTTTTTACCATAAACCGAACCTTAAGACAAAGCCTGAACCCAAGCCCAAGTTAAAATTACTTTGAGCGTGACTCGGCTCATAAAAACTTGAATTTAACTAAACTAAATTCAATATGTGCCAAATTTTGGTTTTAGATCTAATGTAGCCCGCAATTTCTATATGAAAATATTTACGACCAGCAATATTTTCAGCAGAACGGGCAATTATATAAAACTAGGAATTATATATAGTCAAGTTGGGAACACAACCAGACTTAGAGCCAGAAATTCGGCTCAAACCATGTGCTGGCAGCCAAGCTAAGAGCAAATGTGTAATTTTTCAATTGGCATCAACATTTTCAAAGATATTTTCTTACAATAAGCAAAGAGTTATTATTTTTTTAAATACTTGTCAGATTTATTGAGATAGCAAACATATAAAACATATGCATTTGTTAAACATATGCAACTCTTGTGGTTGTTGTTGCTGTTGTTATTGTTATTTTGGCTTTTGCTGCTGTTCTCAAAACTAACCACAATGCTAGTTAATTGTATTAATTTTAGCATATATATGTATACAGTAAATGTACAAGCTAATTATATTAGAGACAATAAAAAAAAACAAAAAAAAAGACACTACGGCGGCAAATCTTATCACATGACAGTTATGATATAATATATACATATATATATATATGCAGTTATATATATGTATATGTGTGCATGTATATGTATTTGTTTTGATATATCGCTAATGAACATTATGCATAGATAATGCCTAGAGTATGCTTCTAAGTATTTGGTCACATTGTCAAAACCAAGTTAAAAATATAAAAAAAAAATATGTAAATCAAGAATATATCTACGCATATTTGTATAGTAATATATATACTTAATATGTGAGTTATGTGTGTGTGTGTGTGTGTGTGTGTGTGTGGTGCGCCGTAGCTAGCGTTCACTGTACGGCATATATCATAATGTACATGCGTCTAGTTATTAGCATTAACTTAGTCTACTGTCTTTTTGGTAAGTATTTTGCTTGTTTGCTGAATTCGACTACAAGAAATGTTCGGGTCTCGAACATTTTGTTTAACAATAAATAAACATTAAAATAAGCACAGAAAAAAAGAAGGGAGCAAGACACAAACAAAAAAAAGAACATAATTATTGCATTAAATGATTGAAAATGTGCATTAATATTAATTGAAAGCGCTTTTCCTATGCGGCGCACAATTTGTGTGATGTTTTCCATGGAATTGTTGTCTGTTGCTTTGTTGTATAAATATATATTTAACAGACAAGTCGCTCATTAGCAGGACGAAATATACGGTCATAGTTCTCAATTAACACCTTGGCTAGCATATTCATTCGACCGATATCGAAATTGATATCGTTTGCAGCCAGCAAGCAGGGTCCCCAGACAATGGCCAGGTTGGAGGCAGGCATCCGGTTCGAGCTGCTCGACGCTGCAACGCTGTATGAAGGAAGACAAAAAACAAAGGCTTCATTAATGCAACTAATTGGGTGATGCGCCTCGTCTGCTCTAATTATATATACATATCAATTAGACTATAAACACTGTCAAGTCATCTGCCTCTGAGTGCGGCCAAGGATATCGAGCAGACATGCTGCTCTTTCTGGCAGCTGCTTACATTTTGGAAGCCTTGATGCCTAGACCGAGACAATGTCTGTGCGTTCATGTAAATAAATTGGTAAATTAATAACCGAAATCTACAGAAATTATTGAATTTGTCGTATGTGCTGCATTCAGCTGCAGCTACTCATGTGGATTGTGAATTAAACGCGCAGTTCCTTTAAATTGCAGTCGAATTGCTGCTTATCGAGTTCATTGTAAATTTAACATGAAGTTTTAATTAATAACTCCGAGCTGCAGCGACTCGTGTTCATTGTAAATCTTACCTAACATCAACTCAAGCTCATTGTTCATTTAACATGAAGTTCTATTAAATTTCTTGAAGCTGTGGCGCATCATGTTCATTGTAAATGTAAATGAAATTTTACCAAATCGCTGCGCTCTGCAGCTACTCATGTTTATTGTAAAACTAACATGAAGTTTAATTAAATTGCTGTCACAATTGCACGAAGTTTTTAAAGTTTTTTAACTATGAAGTTGAGTAAAAGAAAAGCAATTTATCCTCATGATAACTATGCAGCATTTCGTATGTTTGCCATGCAGATTTTTCTCTCTTTTGGCTTATATTAAGTTCTGTTTACACAAAAGTTCTAATAACAGCTTTGAGCTGTTTTAAGTTCGCACTGAAGCTGGGCACTCACTTGGTCAAATGCTTGATGAGGAACCGGAGCGTAGAGCGATTCGGTTCGGGCATCTCATCGAAGGCCAAACGCATCCGCTCGATGGCGGCATCGTCGGTGAGACACCGTCCCAGTCGCTCGTAGGCCTCCTGTGTGATCAGCGGGGCGGGCAGCTCGCGAAAGAACTGCTTATGGAGGCTGGTTAGCGTGTGTATGTCATCAGTCTGAAGGCAGCGTGGATCGTAGAGGTGGGTCAACTTGCGCTTCAGCTCATCGACGAGCAGCTTGTTGCCGCTCGCGCGATAGATGCCATCCTGTTCAATGCAGTCGGCACGCTCGATGTGGGCGCAAACATCGACAACGAAACGCGGCACATACGGATGGTCGGACATGTTCAGCTCCAGGGCGTTCAGACGGGCCCCAAACAGCGGATACTTGGACTGTTCGTCCAAGCAGAGGCTATTCACTTGGCTGCGACGTGTGCGCGATTTCTTTTCGCTCTTGGGCGATCGATTGCTGCAAATGGATGCGATTAGTTGGCTGATATAAATATATATTAAATATATATAATAAGTGATACTCACAGTCGAAACACATTGCTGTTGACTGCAACTGCAGCATGCAACGTGGGGCGGCATTCCAATTGGCAACAACATGAAAAGGAAACAAATCGCAAACGGAATTAGCATCAAATTGCACTTTTGTGAAGGCAGCTAAAAACTTGGCCTACATTCTGCAAAGCGTCTATCCATCTGTCTCGCTTACTCTCTCTCTCTCTCTCTCTCCCTCTCTCTCTCTCTCTCTGACACTCGCTGACCACCCACAATGATAATAATTATACTATCAGCAAACAACTCGGTTAGCTACCTGAATATCTACTGGCATTGGCGACTGCCATTCCGACTGCTATCGCGACTGCAACTGGGACTGCGATTTGTAGTTTTATATTATTTAACGCCTGCATTCGATTCACCTTGTTTGGGCATGCGGGCGTTTTTGCATACGGAATCTCAGCGACTGGAATGGCAAAGCTGACAAAAAATAATAATAAATAATTCCCAACTTCCAAGATTCCCCGCAGTGAATCATTTTGTCACTCACTGTAATTCCCCTGCATACAATGGAGAAACAGAAACAAAAAAGTGAAACCCGCGAGACTTTCATTAACTAAAACAGACGCAGCTACAAATTAAGAGAGTTGGAGCGAGAGAGAGAGAGAGAGAGAGAGAGAGGCATAAGAAACCTATCCTGCCCCCCGCCAACTCTGCGCTCCATTAAACAAACAATTCAAGCCGCATTCCATGATTCGAATTCGCATTCGCATTCGCATTTCCAAATTCCAATTCCATTCAAAGCTGTTTTGTTTCTATATCTAAGTGTGGCTGTGTCTGTGTGTGTGTGTGTGTGTGGGCGCATGTGCCGCCTTTAAAGGCCAAGCTGTTCGTTACCAATTTGGTGGGGAAACTTGGACTTGGCATTTATCAACGGGGCAGACATCGGGGCGCCCTACCACACAGAGCAGGCCACCACGTAGCAGAGGCGTCTGTCTGCTCGCTTTAAGCCCGATCCAAGGCGTTTGTTAACTAGTTGCATGTTTTGACCCACTAAGCCAGCGAATTGGCTGGCAACCAGTTAATTAAAGCACATACTTGAGCTGCATATGTCAGCTATATACTTATATACATTTCTAGCTCAACTTCGGAATTTACTTTAACTTCTTTCAATATATTATATATATCCGTATACCATACTCATACTTTCTGGCCTAATTCACATATTTTGGCCATAAGTCAAACAGCTTTCTGCCAGTTTATATCAGAAATTGTGCATGTTCATTGGGGCTTGTTGAATTGGCAATACTGAAGATCTAGTTAAGATGCGATACTTAATTTTATAGTCTAGACCAAACTTAAGAATGGGAATAACTCGCCAGATCGTATTTGCCTCACTCGCTCTCTCTCTCTCTCATGCTCTCTGTGCTCCCTCTCTCTCTTTCCGTCCTTTTCTTATTTTCCGATTGACCCAAACGTTTTCATGCGTGGATGTTCCAATGGCTGTGAGTCAGGAATATATTTCTAAATATATCGAAAATGTTCTAACCTGATCTGAAGAGGGTATATGAAAATCTCCCCTTTCCCTCTGTCTATGTCTCTCTGAAAGCGTCAGGTTGTACATCAAGCAAATTAAGAAAGAACAAATTCAAATAGTTGCTCCCCAGTTTAAAAAAATATAAAATAAATAGTTACAACAATTATAAATTGAGAGCTAAAAGCATTTTAGTAGAGCTAATCGAGAGTACTTTTTATCATAAATATAGAGTAGTTAATTATTAACTTGGGACACGGACACACACACTTACATTTCATGCGCATGCGATTCTTGATGGACTTCTTGTCATCCTCGCCGGGCAGATCGACAAGATTGCCAATGGAGGCGCTCTTGAAGCGCTGCAATATGGTCGTCTGCTGGAACTGCTGCACCTCGTTGTCCTCCTGGATTTGCTGGGCACGCAGAATATCAGTCACTGGCACAATCTGGAAGCACAAGACACGCAACACGCACATAAATATTTAAGGAAATACAAACACAATTAAGCAACTGGCAAACTGATGCAAGATGCAATTACTATCAGATACGTAGCAGGGCGTGGGCGGTTGGGGCGTTGAGGTGTTGGGGGTTGTCTGGCATGCGATTGAGATACAATTTGAGCAACGGCTGCAAATTAATTGCAGCTTTTCGTGCTGCTGTCGCCCGGCTCTGATTTTATATCTGTATCTATAAACATATATATTTAACTGATGCTTGATTTTGCTCAAGCTAAACACGATTTACGTGTCTGCTTTTTATTTTACGTTGTTTTTATTTTTTCGGTTTATCAATTGTTTTTTGTTGTCGTCTCGCGCAACGCTCACCGTTGTTAGTCGACGCTTCGATTTGCCTTTGCCAGTCATTTGTTATCTCTTGCCTGCGCGCACGCCCCGGAAAACGCAAGAACAAAAAGAAATTAAAAAAAAAAAAAAAAAACGAAAAAGAAAAGACACCCAAGTTGATAAGAAATTGAACTCGATTTGCTGGAAAAGCAAGAGCGACGCGTGCAATGCCAAACGCAAACGGTTAATGTGCCCAAGATAACGAAATGTAGAAAAGTGTTCGAGCATTTCACGATTTTGTTGTATTTATCGTCGTATCTATAGCCGTAAGTTCTGTCCGATCCGATCCGTATCGCTGCCACTCTCCCGCTCTGCCGCTCTCCCGCTCTCTCGACTCGCCTGGCGCTTTTCATAAGTATTTTCTGATATTTCCTTGCACATTATACAATACGTCTCTGCTCGCCCGCTGCCGTTGGCATAAACAAAGCGACACCAACGCAAAACCTGTAGACGGCCGTCTGCCGGTACGCAGCACAGCCCGGGGCAGCTGGCTAGAAACGATATCGAAATCTATATGCGTCCCGGCAGCCGCAGCAGCAAAATCAGCTGTAAACACGAGCACCACAAACAGCTTGGTGGCAGCTTGAGTTACTTGCACCGGGCGCGGTGGCGTCTGTGCCAGTCGTACGCACAACTTAATTTTGTTGCACACCCACACCCATACACAGACAGAGACACAGACACACAGACGTACTCGACATTAACGAGCTTGTTTAGCTAGACGAATAGATTTCGCATTCCAGGAACTTGGCCAAACAGCTGCTGTTCCGCTTGTGCCACAGCCAAATGTAAATATCATTTTTATAGAGCAACTGTCACGATTCAACGATAACAAATACCTATAAATACAATATCAAAAGAGAATACCCTACAAAACATGCATCAGTTTTCAACAGTTTCTATTTATCTTCCTTTAGACAACTCGCTTCAAATATATAATAATTATAATAACAAACAAGTGTAAGAGATGAGTCGAGAATTGGGATAAACACATATCATATAAGAACCAGAAAGAGCGCAGTGAAGATAGATAGATGTACCTTAATAGACATCTGTCTTTGCATTGCTGTTATAGAAAAGCTTTACTTTCGATCTATGATATAGTTTTTATAATATAGTAGTCCGATTTGAGCTAGCATTGCAGACGTGCTTAACATCTTGAATATCTTGTCCAACAGCAAAGTATTTTCTAAACATATATATCTTCAAGCAATTTTAGAGATTATAGAATTGTATGCGAGCTTTAACTTATATGAAAACTTTTCCATAAGAAAAACGTATTTCTCAACTCATTCTAGAGGTAAAAGAACTATATGCTTTAAGCTTTAAGTCTGCAAGACTAGTTAACATAGAAGCGGATAAACGATCGTCAGATCAAGAATATATAGCCTAAATATCTACTTAATAATAACAGAAATTCATCTGGTTCTAAATCTGTCTCAAAGTTATGACAAACTTGATTTGCTTACGTTGTTCCATAGCTATGAGGTTGCTCAGACTAAAGAATATCTCTAATGTGCCACTCAAGAATATATATATATATATATATATCCCTATATATTGGACATATCTTTATGTAGGCTAAATGTAATACAGGGTGCACACAAAAAGGAGCCACAATCCGCTTGCAATTATGTTATTTAATACCATTGTAACTATTTGTTTAAGCTGCGCTGTTTTGTCTTATTCTCTTTGCAAATTCTAAATTAAACAATAAAAAGTGCTGTAGTCAGGTATGCCCGACTAAGAGATACCCCGTAGCCAACTACGAATCACCTACATGTTAATTTATTGATTGTTGCACAACTTAAATAAGCCAAAAATAAAGCTGCAAAATTTAACCAACAAATAAAATTAAAAAATTTAATAAAAAACTAAGAAAATAAAGAAATAATAATAAAAATTATGTTAAATAAAAATCCAAACTAATCGCTTTCTTAAGAGGGAAAAGTTTTCGAAAAAAAAAAACGATAAAGTTTTTCCAATTTGCAGTCTTAAGTTCTTCAAATATTTAATAACAGAGCAGAACAGATCTGATCAGATCAGCAATAGGATTGTGTATATAAATTATGGGGTTGCGGATACGTTCCTCTGGCTGTTACATACAGCCTCTATACAACATAAGACACCTTTCGAGCCATTTCATGGGTACAGGGTATAACAGCGCTCGATTAAACTCTAATTTTATTTTACTTAATTTGTTATTGTTGCTTTTGTTTGTTTGTGCATAAACAAAAAAGCAAATATTGCGTAGTTGCTGCTTGTGTTGTTGTTGTTGTTATTGTTGTTGCCGCTTTTGTTGTTGCTGTTGTCATTGTTTTTGCAATTAGTGAGGCAGCTGCCGCTGAGCGCGCTTTTGGGCATGTTTGGAATATGCGCGGCATTAGATGCGCTGCTTTTGGCCAACAGCTCGCAAATTAACAAACTCGCACAAATGTATCTCTGGCTGTATACACATATTCTAATGTATCTTTTGTAGCTTTTGTATCTGTATCTGGATTTGTGCGGCAAACAAAAATAGAATTTTAAATGCGCTGCACGAACAATTTTTGCGCCCTTGTTATTGTTGTTATTTTTGCTTTGTTAAATTTATTTATTCTATTATTTATATTTTTTTTAAAATATTTAATTGATTTAGCCTTGGCATGTGGCAACATATGTAAGCCTGTGTCTGTATCTGTATTTATATCTAAATCTGAATCTGTGTCTACAGCTGCATCTGTATCTGTATCTGTATCTGTATCTGTATCTGTATCTGTATCTGTATCTGTATCTGTATCTGTATCTGTATCTGTATCTGTATCTGTATCTGTATCTGTATCTGTATCTGTATCTGTATCTGTATCTGTATCTGTATCTGTATCTGTATCTGTATCTGTATCTGTATCTGTATCTGTATCTGTATCTGTATCTGTATCTGTATCTGTATCTGTATCTGTATCTGTATCTGTATCTGTATCTGTATCTGTATCTGTATCTGTATCTGTATCTGTATCTGTATCTGTATCTGTATCTGTATCTGTATCTGTATCTGTATCTGTATCTGTATCTGTATCTGTATCTGTATCTGTATCTGTATCTGTATCTGTATCTGTATCTGTATCTGTATCTGTATCTGTATCTGTATCTGTATCTGTATCTGTATCTGTATCTGTATCTGTATCTGTATCTGTATCTGTATCTGTATCTGTATCTGTATCTGTATCTGTATCTGTATCTGTATCTGTATCTGTATCTGTATCTGTATCTGTATCTGTATCTGTATCTGTATCTGTATCTGTATCTGTATCTGTATCTGTATCTGTATCTGTATCTGTATCTGTATCTGTATCTGTATCTGTATCTGTATCTGTATCTGTATCTGTATCTGTATCTGTATCTGTATCTGTATCTGTATCTGTATCTGTATCTGTATCTGTATCTGTATCTGTATCTGTATCTGTATCTGTATCTGTATCTGTATCTGTATCTGTATCTGTATCTGTATCTGTATCTGTATCTGTATCTGTATCTGTATCTGTATCTGTATCTGTATCTGTATCTGTATCTGTATCTGTATCTGTATCTGTATCTGTATCTGTATCTGTATCTGTATCTGTATCTGTATCTGTATCTGTATCTGTATCTGTATCTGTATCTGTATCTGTATCTGTATCTGTATCTGTATCTGTATCTGTATCTGTATCTGTATCTGTATCTGTATCTGTATCTGTATCTGTATCTGTATCTGTATCTGTATCTGTATCTGTATCTGTATCTGTATCTGTATCTGTATCTGATCTGTATCTGTATCTGTATCTGTATCTGTATCTGTATCTGTATCTGTATCTGTATCTGTATCTGTATCTGTATCTATATCTGTATCTGTATCTGTATCTGTATCTGTATCTGTACCTGATTCACGAGCAAAAACATAACTGACTAAACAAAGGCGACGCATTTGACCCGTTAGACTTTTGATCTTTTAGCTGCGCGTATTGTTAAAGTGTTATTTGCACATCTATTTTTTACAGGTATATTGCTTTAAGCGTTGCGGTTATCAACCGGGCCCTCATAATATGTCTCATGGACACCGTGTTAATGGAGCCAAGAGATTGTCTATATACCACATATCCAATTGTTACCAAGTGTCGAGCTCTGTGTTGACTTAACATTGCGTAGGCAAAGTCAATGCAACACCATAGCCAAACATCCGCTCGGCTCAATGATATTGCAGCTAACCTTAGCTATATCTAAGCTCTATGCATACATAAACGAGATGATTTCAAAACACAGCCCGTTCAAATTGAAGCCAAGCCATGAGCACTCGCAACACTCAGTCAGGGCCAAACTTATCAGCAGTGTTTCTTGTTTTTTGCTTTCTGCAAACATAAATGAGGCTTAAAGAATTTGAAATCCTAATATATAGTCGACTATATAATAAACATATATAGCTAAGTGTTTTTGTATTCCATTAAAGTACTATTCTTATTGTTTCTAACTGTATTGTTTCGCATCTTTATAATATATAATCAGTTCGTTTGTTTTAGACTTAGCTTAAAAAAAGGAAAAAATTATATAGTTAGATAAATAAATAGATATAATATAATATGCATTTCTTCAGATTATGAAAATATATATCATATATCTTATTATCTTACACAAATATCTATATCTATCTATTTGTCTATCTACCTATCCACATATCTATCTTTTTATCTATGTATATATTTAATTATCTATCTATCATTTATCTGTCTATTTATCTATCTATCATAAATCTTTCTATCTATTCATAATTCTTTTAGTAAACAAGATTTGCCTTAAAATCGAATCAACAGAACAATTTCTACAATAAGTCATCTAATATATTCAAATATTTTTAAAATATAAGTAAAACAAGTAGGAAAATATAAATTTATACATTTAGATAGAGCCAATCCGATAATGTTGGGGACGTGACATTGGCTTAGCCATAAAAATAAAATAAGAGTTCAGCTTTTGAGCATTGCGATAAGCAATATTTTAAGCAATTCCCAAGCTCTGCTCGTAATATCCGGCCCTTTATTTATGGAACCCAAGGCCCTTTTTTACGATAAAAACAACGAAAATTGAAAAAAACGAAGAAATTTAGGAAAAATGCGCCCTGTCGACGGCTTACAAAAGGCGCAGCCCACCTATAATTATGTAAAAGGTGAGCACAGAACAAACCCGGTCTCCAGCCCGAAGTCCAAGTCGAGTTCGAACTCGAACTCGGCGAGTTTACAAAAATATTTGACTAATGATTAACCAATTAAATGCTGATAAATACGCTGGCGATGACGAGGCCGGCGCGCTGCTCCGCGGAGGGGTGCGTGGGGCAGAAAATTAACGACAGCATAAAAACCAGAAACCGGTTCCCCAAAAGCTGTTGGCAAAAACCTAAAAACTTGCCGACTGTTGTATGCAAAAATAATTGTCGCTGATAGCAGAGCGGGGCGTTGGAGCGAGGGTCTCGCCGATGGAGAGAAGAAGGAGTGTGTGTGGGGGGGCAAGAGAGGAAGGGAACGATATGTGAATCAACTTTTGGGGTACCGAGTCTCTCAGCCAAATTCCATAGAATTTCTCATGCAGCGGCAAATGCACCAAATGCAAAAGGGAAATAATAAAACAACAACAACAATAACAACAATAACAAATAAAATGCAGAGAAAAACGTGAGAGGCAAATAAATAAAAATACATTATGCAAAAGAAAAAAAAATACAAAATAAAATCAAAATAAAAACAACAACAGCATATGATATAAACAAAGCGCAAAAAAATTACGACTAACGCGAAAGGCGCAAGAATTTTCGAGTCGCCGGCCAGAATACACTATCGCACAAAAACTTGGAATCCTAAGGCGCATAGATAATGATAAGATGGCTTTCAAATAGTTTCGTTTTGGTTTGAATCGCCAATTATGCACGCATCTACTTATTTTCAAATATTTTTTAGTATAAACCGAATCTTATACAAAACCTTTTTGAAAAACTAACAACTTTTTAAAAGCTTGGACTTGACTTACTTTATTTGACAATTGTCTATCTTGGTTAGGCAACAAATTTAGCCAGCAACTTCTATAAGAAAATATTTAGGACTTGCAATATTTTCAGTAGAACGGGCCACAATAATATCTCAACAAATATTATATTCATAGTTATATAAGTATATAAATGTGTACAAATACTATGCAAAATTGTAATGCCAAAAAAAACTTGAAAAACTGCACGTACCGATTTCTAATGAAGCATAAGCGATATTAATGTATTACGTCTCAAATCACATATACTGTATATTTTAAATACATATAACTAAATATTTGTATAAGTTATATCTAATATATGTTAGATTAGGGCTGGAATGCAATTTTTTTTAATAATAATTTAATTGGTTTTCTTTCCAATATGGTCAACAAATTGAACCCGAAAACCTATCGACGCCAGACACTCAAATATATTGATTTTTAATATTATTAATATATGTATTAATAATATACTATAACAATATTATGTAATAATATTAGTTCTCCATGAAGCATCATAACAATATCAAATTATTTTTAATAAATTCAAAATTTGTTATAACATTTTCTACTACTCTTGATTTTTTCATTTGAATTTTTTATCGGAAAGGGCATTCGGAAAACTTAAGTGCATTTGTCCCCCTTTGGCATTGTTTGCTGCTGTGTGTAAAAGTGTATGCAAACGCCAAAACTGTAAAGTACCCGGGACTGAGGCTCTGGCGCGCCCCAGCAAACGGCACAAACTCAAAGCAAACAAACATTCGAATCAACCGTTACACACATGCACACGAAGAGACAGACACACACGCAGACACATGCAGAGACACGTACACACACACACACACATACACATAGAGCTGGCAATTTGCAGCGTTTAATTGATGGGGCCGCAGCAAAAACAATGCAATTGCGGTTCCCATTGAATTGAGCAACTGGGTAAGGGGCTAAAGGGGATAAGAGAGAGAGAGAGAGTTGGTTTGCGCTCTTTACACTTACCATATCTTCCTCATCCTCACAACAGTTGACATCTTGGAGCTGCTCACGCCACGCCAGCACCGAGGTGGATACGAGCAGGCGGGCGCTGGAACGTACGCGCAGCTTGCGGCCGGCGCGTGCAGCGACGCCCCGTTTGGTGCTCGCTGCCGCTGCGAGAACGGCCAGAGCCCAATCTTCTTTCAATGGATGTGGTATTTGATCCGACAGATCCTCGCTTTCAGCCTCGCAGCTGCAGCCGCTGTCATCGTTGCTGGGCGACATAGCTACTGTTACAGCTGCAGGCCCAAACGCAGTCGCCTTCGCAGTCGCTGTTAACGCTGACGCCGACGCTGACGCTGACGCTATTGGCGGCGGCGGCGCCGGTCGTCGTATGCGCGTCATGAATCGCTGGTGTATCTGCGAGCGCTGATAGTCGTAAAAGATGGCGCTATATTTCTGCGGCTCCTTGAGACTGTAGAAGATGCAAATGTTGCGCAGCAGCGGATGCGTCAGCGTATGCGTTGCCGACGACGTCGCAACATTCGGCTCTCTGCCGCTGTCAATGCTGCTGCTGCCGGCGCTGCTTATGGAGCCAAGCGTTGCCGTACTATTTGTCACTGTGCTGCCCACGCTAAGCGTCTCTGCGCGCTGCTCCCGCTGCTGCTGTTCGTCCGCCTTGGCAAACATGAACTCATCGTCCGTCTCCCAGGCGCCCTGATCCATGGACGCCGTTGGCGACGGCAGCGGCGACGCTGTTGGCGTCGCCTGCTTAGTCAGCTTGTGACGTGCGCCGGCAGCAAATGCTGCGGCTGCTTGCAGAGTTAACGTTTCGATGTCGACGTCGACGTCTGCGTCTGCGTCATCATCGCTGCCCGCATCGGGCGCTGCGATGATCTCAAAGTCTTCATCATTGCCGTCTGGCACTGGCTCCAGGGTTTTAAATTGCCATATGGTCTGATAAATGGACTCCTCCTCCCCCTCCTCCTCCTCCACCGTCAACTCCTGCTCATGCTCTTGCTCATCCTCTTTCTTCTGCCCAGCTGTCTCTTCCAGCGCATTGTTATTGTTGTTGTTGTAGTTGTTGCCATTCTCATTCTCATTGTTCCGTGGCTTCGTAAGCGCCGTGCTGGGATTACGCACCGGCACCTGAGGGGCGGGACGTCGCACTTTAATCACACAATTCTACAAATATTTAAAGATACCAAAAAAAAAAAAAACTTTGTTGTCACAGCCGCACATTCCGAAGACACAGATTTGTATGGACAACAACTTTTCCACAGATATCCAACAATTTGGACTCATTCACAACAACAACAAAAAATAAAATCAAGGAATTAGTTAAAAGACTTAACTGGATTTGCACTTCACAACCAAAAAAAAAAAAACAAAAAAAAACTCCAACTCGAATTTTTAACATTGCCAACCAGAATTTATAGAACTCGTTATTTGTATAATTCGTTACTCGTTGTTGTTGTTTTACTCGTTTGTTTCTGCAGATAAGTAGAAAGAGAGTTCAACGAGTGCGCTCTACGCAAACTCTTTTTCGAACCATCTACAAATAGTCAAATAGTCCGATTTCTGTCATTTTATTTTTCACAATTTCATGGCCACTCGTTACCCATTATTACTAATAGTTATAGGCAACTCTTGCATCTTTTCCTATCTAATTTCATTTGTGTCGCTACTTTTTCCTTTTTCATTTTCCAACTTACTCGAATATGTCACTACTCGCTGCACTTTCAAGCTAAACTCGTTACTTTTTCGATCGTATGTTCGGTACTATTTGCATGCATATTATCAATACAAAACATCTTGCACAATAGCTCACCTTTATCGCCATCAATCTAATCTTCAACATGCGACATACTATTAAATCGTTTACTCGTTACATGCGCTTACAAAACGAGTACGCGTGATTACTCGTTACATAGTAACTACTTTACACTATCCCATACTAAGCTACACTATGCTATACAATACTATACTATTTTGTACGATACTAAAGGATTTGTTTTTTTTTTTATATGTATATTGATTGATGAACTTTGATAATGCAATTATTATAATAAAAAAAAAATAGTTTTTGTATTTAGCTTGATTAGGTAACTTTTTGAAAGACAACTAAAAATGAATTTTATAAAGAAAAATATGCATATACATATTTAAAAAAATTAATGCATTGATTTTGCATCTGATAATCCTCATAAATACTTTATACTTTACTCACAATCTTGCACTTTGAATAAACTTCCAACCAAACGAACCCAAAATATTTTTGGCAAAGAAAAAAAAAATGGCATAAGAAATATACATGCATACATATGTTGTATGCATATCACGTATACAAATATACATGCATACATACGTACATATTTACATATATGCATATGTGTGTACATACATTGGAAGTTTATTCTCGTATACATATGTATGTGTGTATGTATGTATATGTTTGAAACTTAATTCATACGAGACATAAATACATATGTATATACACATATGCATGCATATTTATATATATTTGTTTTTGTATTTTGTATTTATTATATATTTTTTTAATTTATTTAATTTATCTAACGTTCTTGAGCTGTGCCTAATATTATTTATGTACATTCCTTGTTTAATAACTGTATATATAAATAACAAGAAAAGGAAAACCTAGTTTTTATTTTTACACACACCAAAAAAAAAAAAAAAACAACTGTGTACTTTGGGGTTCGTTTTGGGTTTTTGCCTCGTTGTTGTTGCTTTCGTTTTTTTTTTTTCTATTTGCTATTTGCTACACTTTGCAGCTCATTGCCAGCTCGCTCGCTCTTGTAGTCTTTCGCTTTCTACTCTCTTTCACTCTGCCTCCCTCTCGCGCTGCCTGTGGCGCTCGCTCGCTCACTCGCAATCGCAACTACCGTTGTATGTTTTTTTTTTTTATATTAATTTACGCCTCAATTGCGGCTGGCAGTGAGCCCAAATTGTTAGTGTTGTGTTGTTGTTGTTGTTGTTGTCGCTCGTTATTTGTATTTTATTTGTTTAGTTTTGTTGTAATTTGTAATTTGTTGTAAATCTGTTTGCTTGGAATGGCTATTGACCTGTGTTATTGTTTGTTGCAGTTGTTGTTGTTGCTGACTGACATTGTCATGCTCCTTGTTATTGTTGTTGTTGTTGTTATAATTGCTATTGTTTTCACTGTCGTCGCAGCTGGAGCGCTGAGCGTCGCCGCTTTGCTTGGGTGCCGCCATCAGCGCGCTGCTACTAACGCTGCCGACAACGACGCCGCTGCTGCTGCTACTGCTGCTGCCACACACCGATCGCGTTTGCGTCTCGCTCTCGCTCTCGTTCTCACGCACGCACGCGCTCACGTTCACGTTCACGATCTCGCTCTCGCTCTTGCTCTGCTCAATTGTATCGCTAACGCTGCCGACACGCCATACGACCGCTACGTCGTCACTCGCTGGCGTCGCTGGCACAACTGCCAGCTCCAATGACGGCGGCCCCAATAGGCGTCGTCGTTGCCGTTGCCGTTGCCGTTGCCACAACGCTGACTCACGCTCAGCGCTGCTGTTGCTGTCGCTCTCGCAGAGCCGCCGATAGCGTCGCAGCCAGCGCTCAATGCCGACGCTGCGCAGTCGCTGTCGACGCTGGCTGCTATGCAAAAAGGCGCTTAGTAATTTGCCATAGCCAAAGAAGCAAATGACGCTGCGGTGCAGACTGGCCGCAAGCGCAGCGCTCTGCCATAACTGAGGCAGCGATAGACGCCCTGCGAGCAGCGCTGCCGCTGCTATTGTTGTGGCCGCTGCCGCCTGCGTCGGCGTAGGCGTAACTGTTAATTCAAACGTTTCGGCTGGCGTTGCCTGCTCACTGACCGCCAAACCGCTGAGAAATTCGCAAACAAAGGCCGCATCGTGGCGCTCATTGATGCCGCAGCGACGTCGACGCCGATCGCTAAGCAGCGCCTCGCATTGAGGCGCCAATTGGGCTTCCAATTGATCGTCTAATTGGAAGTGCGGCTGCTGCTGCTGCTCGCGCTTGGCCAGCAGCTTGCGCTTAAAATCGTTAACCAAACGCTGCTGCAGCGCAGGCTCTGCTGCTACTGCTGCTTCCTCCGCTACTGCCTCGTTGCGTCTCAGCATGACCGAATCTGTCTCTTGCTCCCGTTCCCGCTCCCGTTCCCGCTCTCGCTCGTAGGCCGGCGGTACGGCTTTGGGCTGTTGGCAGCCGACGCCGCCGTTTGCATCCTCGTAGCTGTGCAGCTCGCGTCGCAGCGCGTTCATCCACTGGCATATGCTTTCATTTAAATAGAGCGCCGACGTTGACGCTGCTGCTGGCGTCGATGCTGCTGCCTGGCAGCTCGGCTGCTGTTCATCTTGACGCAGCAGGCGCATACGCGAAATGCGCGGCTTTTTGCGTGCCAGGTCCGTTACACTCTCTTCCTCTGGCTGCGGCTCCGGCTCTGGCGGTGGCGCTGGCGCAGGCGTCGACGCCGGCTCAGTCTCTGACTCCGGCTCCGGCTCTCGTTCGGCCCGCAGCCTGCCGTAGATATGCTGATCGCTGCGACTGCACTGCAGCTGACGCTTCAGCTCGCAGATGCGCTGCATATCGAACGTTTCCTGCGTCCGAAAAACTTCGTCCACATTGTGAATGATCTCCAGGGAGCCGCCGCTGCCGACGCCGGCCTTGGCAGCGCCGCCCTCCCTTTGGAACAGGCGACGCTGCAACGAACCGGAGCGATTCAATTGCTTCAGCGAGCCAAAGAGACGCGTAAGTGTCGCAGCGCTCGACTTCGAGTAGTTTAGCAAAGTGCGCGATTTGCCAGCCTTGGCAGAGGCAGAGGCAGCGGCCGAAGCAGAGGCAGAGGCAGAGGCTTGTGGCGGCAGCGAACGCAGCAGTGGTGGCGGTGCCGTTGGCAACTGGGGCGTCTCGTTAATTAGAGCTGATGTGGGCGTGGCACTTGTTGCACACTCACATTGTTCGCTGTCGCTGTAGATGCCGCGGCAGAGCTCGCAAATGTTCTCATATATATTGCATTCGCTGCTGTTAGTTGGCGACGTCGGCTGCGGCTGCGGCTGCGTCTGCTGTTGCAGCGCTGCGACGACGCTGCCGCTGACAATGCACTGGCAGAAGTGACAGTAGCGACCTTGGGCTGCAAAGACGCCATAGCCGCAGCCGCGGCACAGATTTTCGTAGATCACCTCGCGGCGAAAGTATTTGCGCAGCTGCTGCGACGTTGCCGACACTGGCAGATTCTCATAGATATGCTGCTGCTGTTGGCGACTGCGCTTGCTGCGCAGCTGCGTGTATGTCGCCTCGTTCTGATTGGAAATGTGCTGCTTTTTGTTGTTGTCGCCGATTTCGCTGCAGTTGCGTTTGCTGCTTTTCATTTCCACTTGTTGCGGCATTTCGTTTTGCTTTGTCGGTTCGTTTACTCGCCGTCTCTCACTCTCCTTTTCTCTCTCTATCTTTCGCTCTTTCACTATCACACGCGTTTATCGTACTGTTTGTTATTATTATATTGCTGCATCATCGTTTATTATGTGTATTTTTATTTTATTTAAACAACGGCCACACAATCAAAGACACAAGAAATACAAGAAACAAAAAAAAAAACAGTTTTCATTTCATTTCATTTTATCTATTATGCGCTTTTAATTGATGCGAGGCAACTGTCAAATAGTCGCTCGCTCTTTGTGTCGTTGTGCACTCGCTCTCTCCCTTGCACACATGCGCGCACGCGCTGTTATCTTTGTGACCCTTTCCTCCCGCACACACACACACACACACACACACACACAGTGCAGAGAGCGATCATGTTAGTGTCGCTGCACTCTGCACTTACACATGTACATACACATGCACATATATATAAGTTAGCTGCTGCAGTCGATGTCGCTGCCGCTGCTCAGCAATTCTGACGCAGGCTCTCTGCGCTTAACCCTTAAGCTGTTGCACGCGGTTAAATCGACATTTTACTAACGATTTATTTTAAATAAATTTATAAGTTAGATAATGTCAATGGCTTTTAATAGATAAGTAGAGGAGTAAAATAAAAAGCAAAATAATCATTACACAACACAAACTCACATAGATAAAATTTACCAAAAAATACAATACAACAGAAGAATATGATTTTTTGTATATGGCATACAAATAAATATTCATGAATAGTTATTGCTATTTTTATTCCACTAGCAATTGCTAAAGGTTGAGTTCCAGTTCTCTCGCAAAAACACGAGCCCCTGCATTTTTCAAAGAGTGCTGCCACCGTATTAATATTTACAAGCTGGCAACACTGGCAGCACGCTATTTGTCATATGTTCAACAGTCAAAATTATCTGCTAGCTAAATTGGGTGTCAATTTTGACATGCATTCATTTTAATATTCATAATTTATATTTAATTATAATATATTTAGCCCACATAAGTGTTAAAATGAACAACTGCTGCCGCTGCCGCTGCCGCTGCTGCTGTTTCTGGAGACTCGCCGAGTTCGCCTTATATTACATACTTGAGCTGTTTGCTTGAGCGATGACTCAGAGCGGGGCAGCAAAGCATGTCGAGATGTCGCCCCCAAATGGCTTGGCCAACGGGTCCCGGGTTAGAGGGGCCTGCCGGGGCGTCACTCAAATTAAATGCCCCGACAGTGCGCAACAGCGCGGCGACCCTTGAGCTAAACGCCAAGACTGAGACACCGAGACACTGAGCAACTGAGAAATTGAGAAACTGTGAAACTGGTTAAAGCTGACGTTGCGTAAGCGGCCGCTGGACTCGCCCTCGCCCTCGGCCTCACCTACGCGTCGTAGGTGCCGCCGTTCTAGGGCAATGGAATGTGGACTACCTGTCAGGTGCTTGGGACATAGCCAAGGTGGATTAACAACTGTCTCGATCGATGCAAAGTCAACTGTTGCACAGTGAGAAAAAATGTGGCATATAAATGTGGAAAAGTTGTATGTAATAACATTATTTTTATCAATCATCTATCAATCAATCAGCACTTAATCATCAATCAATCATTTAACAATCATGAATCAAGCGTGGATAAATAAATCATCAATCAAACAATCAGTCAATCATCAATTAATCCACCAATGAATCCGAAAAAATTCGCCAATCAATCAAACAATCAGTCATTAATCAGTGTGTCAGTATTCAATCAATCATTTACCAGTCATCAGTCAATCATCTATGAGTCACGAATCAACAATCATTCATCTATTAATCATAGATCCATCAAGCAAATATCAATAATCAATCAGTACATAATATATCAATAATCAATTTATCAATCAATAAACTATTAATCAACAATTGATCAATCTATCAATCATAAGTCAGTCAATCATATAAGAATCATCAAAAATGTATCAATCCTGAATCGATCCATCAATCACATATTATTAATCAGTCAAACAGACAAATTTCAATCAATCATAAATTAATCATTTAATAAATCATGAATCAATCTATCAATCATTTATCAAGCAGTCATCTATTAATCATGAGTAATTTTTCAGTCATGAATCAATCCATCAATCATCTATCAATTAACCAATCCTACAGTCAATCATCAATCAATGAATCAATCGATCGTCAGTCTATCAATCAATCGATCGTCAGTCTATCAATCAATCAATCAATCAATCAGTCATCAACTTGCTTTCATCTGAATTTCCCATGCATTCTCTGCGACCACAGAAGAAAGGGTATCAGATACGGATATTATGAATGGAGTTTCCCCTCAAAGACTGCGCTAGAAATCCCCATTCAACTCGTCACCCCGCAAGTCCTCAGACTATGAATAATAATGCCAGTTCTAACGAAGGAAATCGCTTTGAGGCTCTGCGAGTAGTTTCGAGATAAGCGAATTTTGTTGCCAGCACACATAACTTCAATTTCTGGATCGAAATAGGGAAATAGAGCATTCCATTATGATATATATAAGCATGTATAGATGTAGATATATCGTAAAGATCCCTGAGTTGAGGCTTAAGAATATATATATACTATGTTGATTTCGGCTTAGTCAAATCAGAGAATAATTATATGCAACATTTATGTCATATATATTTCTGTTACATCTGAATCAATCAGGCTTACAATAACAGAAATATCAACAAGTTCTCACAATAAATAGGTAGTTTCTTTTAACAAAGCAACTGCAAATTTCGCTATAAATTTATACCCATTTAAATATAAAAATTGTGCACATTATCTTGTGAACTTTTGAACTTGCATACTTTTAGGCGGCGGCGGCGGGTCAAGCGCGACTCGAACCTTTCAAATTGAAAGCCCAGGCTTGGCGACGACTCTTTGAATGGCACTTAACATATATGTACATATGTATATATGTATATATAGATAGAGATATCTGCGAGATAGACTCTTTGAGCCTAGAAGTAACGCTTATCTCGCAGAAGCCAAGCCAATTGACCTCGTTCTGCTAGCACGAGAGAGAGAGAGAGAGAGAGAGAGAGAGAGACAGAGAGAGAGAGACTTGGGAGACTTGCGCGTATCATGAATGGAAATTAAAACAATTGAATTGACTATAAAAGTGAATCATCCAACATATATGAATACATGTTTGAATGTTCACAATATATTCACATGTAAAACGGGGCTTGGCTTCTATATACAGCATATGTATGTATATTTGTATAGAAGTGTTGCTTTCCATATAATGCTCTCCGATCTATTGCGGCATTCGGCAGCTGAGCTAAATTAATATATATATATATATATATATATAAATATACGTGAACAATCATGCGATTTACTGCATTTGCAAATGAAATGAAAACGTTTTAATTTGTTTTTGTTTTTTCACACAATCTTATTTAAATATGCACAACAAAAAAAAACCCAAAAAGAATCACGTTGTTTTTGTTTCTGATAAGCGCAGAGCGCGGCGGAAAACGAAAACGAAATTGGTTTCAAATTGGAATCTCAATGGGCTCCAATTAGATTTTCCGTTGTACCGGTACCGTTGCCGGTCCTATTAGTCCAGCTGCGAGCGCGACGCGTTCGCGAATTTAACACAATATCAACTAAAATTGAAGTCAAGATGCCGCCGCGCATTTTCTTGGGTGGCGGTCTCTGTCGCGGTCGACGCCGACGCCGACGCTGACGCCGAAGGCAACGTCAAAGTCGACGTCGACCCGGTCACCCAGCGGACGGCGCGGACGCTGCATACACCATACAACAAAATCAAAAACAAAATTAATTATATCAAATAAATACTTAAAACTAGAATTTTATTTGGGATTGGGCCTGGCTTGAAGTCGTCGAAAATACGTTTAAACAAAAAAACCAAAACAAATACAGAATATCAAATTAAGAAAATATATGTGCATGCATATATGTAGCTGAATATGCAGCAGAAAATAAGTTTTTGTTGCCTAGTGTAAGCAACAGATCCACATTGGGGAGGCACAACTCAAAAGCCAAATGTGTGTAATGTACATGAACAACATGTGTCTGTCTGCGCACATGTGTGAGTGTGTGTGTGTGTGTGTGTGTGTGTGTGTGTGTGTTGGCATGAGGTGGGGGTGGGGTGTGGCTGCGACAAAGACGCTTTTTATGCTCAACGCCGGTTGCCTAATTAAGCATAACGCAACTGCGGGCGATTGGGCGTGGACAGCAACTGGGCGAGGGCAAGGGGCGGCGCCGGAAAAGGGCTGAGAACTGCGGCTTAACGGCATAGATCCAGCTAACAACACCTGCGGCAAACAGAAGCCAAGATCGAAGCCAATTTGCAACATAATTGCATGGATGCGACGACAGCGGGGGCGTGGGTGTGGGCGTGGGCGTGGGCGGAGGTGGTGGCGGTGGCGGTGGCAACATCTGGACATGTGGGCTGTCCAAAGATCGGGTCGAATAAAGTAGAAGTTTATAACTGGAACGCTGCACAAATAAACAGCAGCAGAACCTGCACATTAAATGCAGCTGCATGACAACAACAACAACAACAACATGCAACAACAACATGCAGCACATGCCTCATATGTGAATGAATGCAGGGTAGCTTGAGGCTGGCAACTGGCAGTTGGGCGCACACGAACCGCATGAAGAATCGCGACGGCATCGCGGCCGCTTGATCTTTGAACTAAATTAATTAAGCACAATGAACGCAATTGTTGCTCCTGTTGTTGTTGTTGTTGTCGTTTTTGTTGTTCTTGTTGTTGTTGTTGTTGTTGTTGTACATGTTCATGCTCCTGGTGTTGTTGCACAGCAGCAGCAGCGCCGCCTGCTCCCTAAGCAAATGTATCCAGCAGATACACCAGCAGCAGCAGCAAATACCCTTTGCAAGGGTATTACACTTCCATCACCAAATATGTAACGAGTATATTCATCTATTCAATAGTATTTTAAATAATCGATGAAAAAATTTAATGGATAATAACTTAAATAATTTTCAGTTAAGTGTGAACCCAAGTTGATCTTGTTGCAGCTATACCCTCACCGTGTTCAGGGTATGCTTAGCAAAATCAAATAGTATGATACATAATATTTGTACTTAATTTTTGTCGATTTTTTTTATATTTTTACTTATAGCATAGCTCCAATATAGTTTAAAACTTAAAATTTTGTTAAACAATTGATTGTACACACACATAACCTAACAAATTTGGAGACCTTGGTCGAAAATGTGGGGGGAAGGGGAAGGGGGGTGGGGTTTCTAATACAAAAATAATCACGCTGCATAATTTGGGGTCTTGTGTAGAATTTGTAGAGCCTTTCACCTATATATACATATATATATATATATATTATATACATATATACAATGGAAGTCGAAACATTGAAAGCCGAATTTGCGTTTTGTTCTTGAGTTAAATGGGTGCAATTTGGTTCTAAACGAATATTTGGGCTACAATTGAAGCACAGGGCAAAAGGGGGTATATATATATGTGTGTGTGTGTGTGTGTGTGAGTGAGTGTGAGTGTGTGTGCAAGTGTGAGTGTGAGTGTTTGTAAGCCTGCATGTATGCATATAAGTATGCTGGTGTGTGTATTTTTGTATGTATGTAAATATGAGTGTATGTGTGGGTATGTATGGGTAAGTGTGTGCCTGTGTGTGTGTGATTATGTGAGTGTATATACATGTCTGTGTGTGTATCTGTTTATCTGTGTTGCTTCAATATCTGCGGAATCTTGAGTCTATTCTGACCATATATCTGTTCGATTTGACCCCGATTGCGCCTAAATATTCTAACCTCACTATACATATATATACATATATATATATATATATACACAGATAAATATATATATATACACATATGTGCCTAACGACACAGTTGCGCAGCTGCTGTCGGTATCTTTTTGTAGTGTATTCGTTCTTCGTTGTTAGTCGCTCATCTTCAAGTGTTCGCCGTTTATTCTGGCATGGGTATTATGTCTGCTTCTGCTTCTTCTTCATCATCGTCTTCTTCTGTTTGTTTCATTTACTTCCATTTTATTGAATCCAGTTGTTGGTTTTGTATTGCACGAGGAGTAGCTGCAGGCATTTTACAGTTACAGTTGCTAATTAAATGCAATTACTCAATTCCAATCACAATTACTTCAGTAATTTCCCAGACAGCCTCGAAATAATCATTCCAAAACAGCCTCAGCCTCGCACTTATCAAAAGATTCTTCCTATGGCTGCTTTATGTTATAGTTAGCCGATGTTAAAAAGAAATGAAGTAAATGTATTAATTTTCAACCAATATAGCAGCTATATGATATAGTTGTTCGATCCGGCTAACTCAGATAAACGTACTATCAACAATAGGAAGATGGCGAGTAGAATCCTTAAAATTGGGAACTCAGATATTTACAGTCTCTAAATATATATATACTTATATCCCCTATAATAAAGGTCAACTGATTATGCAAGAATTTCCCAATTAAAATCGAATTACTGAAGTAATTGCAATTACTTTCGTAATTACTTGCGAGTAAATGCAATTACTTAAATGGCAATATAGAAGAGAATATGCATATGGGCTGTCTGGAGGATTAGTGAAGCAATCGTTGGAATTGGGAATTCAGATATTTACAGAAATAGCATGCACGCCACATTTGACTAGGTTGAGCGCCAGCTGCTGCTGTTGGTTCCATCGAACTCCCAGGCGGTCTGCTGCGGTATCGATGTCTGCGAATTGGATGCCTGCGGATCGTGATAATAGTTCTGGGGCCAAACGGCTGGCACATTAACCGGCACACTATAGTATTGGTAGACTGGCTGGTACTGGACGCCGGCCGGCGCCTGCTGATATATGGTGGGCATGGGGGCGGTCGTGTATTCGGCAACTGAGGCAGCCGGACCGTATGTGGCGGTGGCATATTGCTCGATGGGTATTGTGTTCACCGTCGGCGGCGGCGGTGGCGGCGGCTGTGTGGTGAAGTAAACGGTGCCGTTTGTCTCGATGATCGGCTGCAGCTTGGGGCGGATCGGCTGCTTCTTGAAGGCCGGTGCAATGTTCAGGCGACGATTGCGCAAGATGACGCACTTGCCAACCGACTGGAGGCGCTGCGCCTCCTCCTCCGTCTCGAAGGTGACGAAGCCGTAGCCCTTGTTGAAGCCATCCTGATCCACAATGATCTTGGTGCTGCGCACCGTCCCATAGGCACTGAATGCGATCATCAGATCCGACTCGGTTGTGTCGCGGCTAATGCCGCCGACAAAGACGCGATTGGGTATCACAGTGCCATAGATGGGCTCCGCCGGTGGCGCCTCCACGGCCACCGCGGGCATGGCCACAGCCGGCTGCGTTGCCTGTGCGGGTGCCAGGGTTAGTTTCGGTGCAACCGGTCCAGCCATTGACTGTTGCAGTTGTGTCGATGTCATCCTCTGATGATAGCTTATACCAAATGGCTGAATCTTGAGGCTGCTTACGATTGTTTGTGAATTAAAGCGAAATTGTGGCTTCGTTAAACTGATGGGTTTGCCACACAATCGTTGGCCAGCCTGTACGAACCCGTTTTTTGCTCTTTAGTTTTCTATTTGTTTCGCTTACCGCTGGCAATTAACAAGATCCTCTGCTAGCTTATACATATATCAGTGCAACAGTACAACAATATACCGGGATGATTCTCAATTGAATTACGGATGGGTGGGGGCTGGGGGTAATTAGGGAGGGATTGCTTGTTGGGTGGGAGGTGGATTAGGGCGGGGCTGGGTTGGGTATAACGTCCAATGATGCCGTCTCCCTTCTCGCTTTGAATTGCTTTGACGGTTGATGATGAACTTCTTAATTGGGCGTTTTTTAATACCTTTTTCTACTTATTATAACGGTTAGCTAGTTAACTATCTTTCAAACGAGTTTCAAAAAATCGAGAATTTCAAAAATTGAGAATTTCCAAAATACCTCATTTGTTAAAATACAAATTTGAAATGAATATCATAACACCTGACCTTAAAGCAAAGGCGATAATGATGTTTACAAAGCACACACACGCACACACACACACACACACATACATACGTGACTGATTTATGAACTTCAATATACTTTGTTTTCACCTGGGGAAGGGAGTGGGGAGGACTGTCAATGAGCTTCTTTCCCTAACTAAGAAATTTTCAGAAAAAGTCATTGAAAAAAAAAGATATATACATATATTAAAATGTTCAAGATACTGTGTTTTTACTTGGAAGGGGGCTTCTTTCATGGGGCTTTCTCTTTAATTCTTTTGATTTTCAAAATGAAATGAAAATTTCAGAAAAATTCTTTAAAAAAAGATGAAGAATTTATATACATATATATTAAGTTTAGGATACATACTTAATTTTCATTTGGTTTGGGAGGGGGGTAGGACTGTCAAGTGTTTACCCTTTCATTATTTCCACTTTCAAAGGGACCGCACAAATGAAGGAATTTTCAGGAAAGAGAATATTTATATATGTATATATAAGAAGGCGAATATATAGATTTATATTTTTTCAAGGGGTTTTGCCTTTAATTCTTGAAAGGAATAATTAATATATATTTGAAACTACCTCAAGCTTTATAAAAAACTTGGCTTTCGCCTCAAATACTTTCGTTAGGATATTCATTTTCGATTTATCGATACCCGAACCCGAATGCAGGAAGCTGGTTCGAAGCATGAGTTTAGTACCTGAGCACGTAAAATCTTCTACCCTTATCCTATACACTCTCTCTCGCAAAGCGTATTCCACATTCGACTTCGAGACATTAAAGAAAACTATATATTATATGAAATACATTTTTTTTTTGCTTTCCGTTTTTTCTGCGGGTCGCACAACCAAAGGGCTGCCGCCGGGGTACCCAGTCAAGCCAAGTACCAGATATGCCTGCTAAACGAAGCTGACTGCGACGCGGCGTCGCCGTCGCAGTCGCTGCTTTTCAATTGCACTGCAAGCGGCCAATAAGAATGTCGTTTGGTATTATGATTATGATTGTTGTGCCTCGCTTCTCTAATGAATTTTATTAAGCGCAACAGCGACCCACAAGTTGTGGCAGTTGCAAAAGAAGTCTAATTGGAGTTCCAGTTGCGAGTTGTGTGAAAGGGAGACAGCCGCGTGGCAGCTACGCTCTGTCAGTGCCTCAAAATCAACACAAATCTGAATTTTTTCATTTCATATACGACAGCCAAATGACGACGAGTCGACGAGTCGATGAGTCATCGCTGTACGAGCAGAGAATCAGATATAGTCAAAGAAATCGCTCTGGCCAATGTCTGATAAGAACTCGGCGTAACTGATAAAAGTTGACTGTGATCTTTTGCAATTACTTGATGGCAATTCATGTGTACTCAGTGGGTCACCTTTTGCTTAGCTAATCTCAGGCGGAAAATAACCTGAACCTGAGGATGCTGCAGAGGGGAAAGGTTGTACATTCACACATGAATGAGTGAATATATCATTTATGCAATACAATAATGCGAAAGCATTTTCAAGAAGAAGACAAAAACATAAAGTATGCATATTTACCCATATATGTACATTATTGTGTTGCATAAATGATTTGCTATTACAAAAGATCTTTACATAGTAGCTAAATAATATTATTGCTTATTAAGAAAATAACTTACAATAAAAATATAAATTATATAAATAAATTAAATTCAATTATTTCAACATGCCACAAGAAAGTCTTAAGAAGTACGCGATTCACATGTACACACACACACACATGTATGTTTGTATGTATCTAAATATGTATATGCACACATACATGAATAGTTCTGTGTGTGTAATGGCAGCTCAAGTGTCAATCAAGCGGCTACTTGCGTTGCATTAACAAAGATAATAAAAAAATTATATAAAAAAAAAAGAAAAAGAGAAATTTGTGTGCAGCAAAAAGTGTCAAGCAAATCAGAGCGAGAAAATGAACTGCATAAATAAAGTCAAATGGAAATGGGAATAATGCATAATGCACATGTGTGTGTGTATACATACATGCCTATGCGTGTGTGTGTGTGTAAGTGTGGCTCCATGCAAACTGATGACAAAATTGTTTTACGCGCACGACTTTTCAAATTGCATTAACAGCGACTGCGACTGCGACGGCGACGCCGACTGCGGCAGCGGCAGCGACATCAACGAAGCTGATAAAGCTGCTGCTGCTGCTGCTGTGCAATGCGTTTTGCACAGATTTGCAATAAACTCTATCGCTGTGTACTTACGCCATTTGCTGGAAACAGCGCGCGGCGTTGTCGCTGCGATAGTTGCGGGCGGCAAAAAACGCATGCAAAACGCGTGCGCGGCACGTCGACTGCCAAACGCGATTAGTCACACAGCTGCCGCAAGCCCCAAAGTCAGCAAAACAAAGAGCAGCCCACAAACAACAAACAGCAACAGTTGCCGCAACAACAACAACAACAACAACATGAAGAAGAAGAAGAACAACAACAACAACAAAAGCGAGCAGCAAAGCAAAACACGCAACGCGCAACATGCGCAATGCATTTTCACGTTGCATCAGTGCACAGCACATGCATACACATGTATGCGTGTGTGTGGCGCGCGCAGCAAGGGAGTAGAGGGAGCGTGGGTGGGGGAGGGGGGAGGGTGCGCTGGCGAGCGGGTGGTGCAGACAATGCAAGCCACTGTGCGGTTGGACGCTTCTTTGCAATCAATTTTTTCTATTTTTTTTTTTATTTTTTTTTTTTCCAACGATTACACATTTCCGAAATTTCGTTGATTTATTTGATTTAATTGCACGCGAACGTCATTTATTATATTACAGCACTCATTTACAGTGTTGTCAAGTGCTTTTACATAATCAGCGGAGGAGCGTATGTGTAAGCGAAATAAGTAAATAAATTAAACATATGCTATATGTTGCAGAATTATAATTATAATAATAATGCAAATAATAATCATAATAATATTATTTCAATGCAATACTAATAATAATAATAACAAAACAGTTTCAATGAAAATATTAATAATAATAATATGTAAGAGGTTCTAGTCGGAAGCTCCCGACTAGGAGATACCCTGAACCCTCTTCTTCCCACATCAAATGCATATATATATTCTATTTTAGAAGCTATATGTCAAGTTTGGTGACTCTAGCTCTTATTATTTACTAAAATTTCCCAAAAAACAGGATATCGATATAGATTTTTATCGATTGCTTGGAAACGGAGCAAGTTATCGATTATCGGAAACAAACTCGACCTACGCGGGAACTAGGAGCACCTACATCTAGAATTATCTCTAGCTCTTATAGGTTCTGAGATCCTTGCGTTCATACATACGGACAGACGGGCGGACAGACAGACGGACATGGCTAGATCGACTCGGCTATTGATGCTGATCAAGAATATATATACTTTATGGGGTCAGAGATGCTTCCTTCTGCCTGTTACATACATTTGGATTTTGCACAAATACAATATACCCTTATACCCATTTTAAATGGGTTCAGGGTATAAAAACAATCAGTCTGCTTATCGTTTTGGTCTTCCTCGACTTTTCGAACTCTTATACAGCTTTACATTTAAGTTTAACCACACGCTACACGTTTTACTCTACCATAATATCATATAAAAGCATTATCATCAGGCTTTTTAGGGATTGGATTTCGTTCGAGACTTTTCAATGTTATTATTTTTATTAATATTAATATTAATAGTCAAGTGAAAGAACCAAAAGTACGAAAAGATAATTTGTTTATGTTAAGGAACCGTAACGACTGTTTTATCTAAAGAGCCTATCCATAGTTCTGAAAATTCCGAAGTTTCCCACAAAACAACATTTTATTTGAACTCCGCTTTAAATAAAATTTCTTAACCGATGCCAAAAGCCATTGAGATCATTTGGAAAACACTTCAGTTTTGGGAACAATACCTCGCATTAACACGGAAACGTGTTTCGGTTTCACTTTCTCTCGACGAGTATGCAAATTTGTCGGGCCCAACAACACGACAGCACGACTCATAAAGAGACAATAAAGACGAGTCGGAAAAGGCATGCAGTGAAATCTTCAATTGCCCTCAGAATGGTCGGCAAAACATATATCATATATCGCCTGCATCTGACTAAGATCAAGAATTCCCAACAGACGATTTCCGGAAAACCTCTTCCTCTAAAAGGAAGAATACTTGAGAAAAATCTTCTCTTTGACGGACGTAACTCTACAAAGTATCTAGAGAGTAACAAAAAGTTCCTTTGCTTTCTAGTTTGAACAATAATTCATTCATGATTCACTCAATAGATGGAAGAGCTCTCATATGAACGAATCAAGGAATCAAGTCTATCGTATAGCTAAGTTTCCAGAAAGGAAAAGACTGCCACATTTATAGGTTAAGTTGAATCGAATTTCATTATAAGCCTTCAATTTAGTTCAATCAACCTTATCTTAAAGAGAACAAGTTGATTCGGTTATCCCAAGTCTAAAGTAGCCATAATTTGAAGACATTTTTGAAAACTTAACTTTTGGTATATTATCAAGTGTAGTTTGCGAAAGATTTAATAAAATTTCGAAATTATCAAAAATAAAAAAAGAACAAAGTTAAATTTCAATAAACTAAGCGAGTTTCAAAATAAGAGCTTGGGTTCGAGCCAGTTTCCGGAACCGATCCTTAAAGTGACGCGTTCGTTGGATCAATGAACCGAGCCACAGACTAGCACAATCTGCTTATTTATAAGAATGTCGTTTTTTTGTGTCAAATAAACCGATGCTTAAATTAAGCTTAGCTTTTCTGGATGCGGTTACCACAACTTAAGCCATTTTCATTTAATATTGCTCATAATCTGTTGATATAAACCGATACAGAACTGCACAAGATGAAATTCTCACAAATTTCTCAACACTGGCAAATCAGAAAGCAAGTTTTTTTTTTAAAAAGGAGAACTGACTAAAAGGGAAATCTAAAAGAGATGAGAATAACAATATGCCCTGAAGCAGAGTAA